TATTTTGTGCAGAAAAATTCATTTTCTATACAAAAGGAATCTTTTTATTTACTTAATTTTGTTATAAGAACGAAATTACTGTTAGTTTTCACTTCGAGTTCAATTTAATTAAAAAGGAAAATTTAAGTACATAAATTAATTTTAATTTCTGCTTGAAAAATGAATTTTTTTATTTATTTGATTTTGTTTTAAGGACGGAAATTATTGTAATATTTTCCCTTGTTTTTTTTTTATTTTTTTCTGTTTTTTAATTTTATTTCGTCTATTTTTTGTTTTATTTTTTGAGAAACGTAAAGTCAATTTTTATTTTCGTTTAATAAAATGACTTCTTTTTTGTAAATTTCGTTTCGTTTTCTGAAAAAGTATAGTTAATTGTAAATTTTTCAAAGAAAGTGGAATTAAATTTTGAATTTGAATCAATTTTCAGCAGATTTGATTTTTTAAGGGTAAAATTTTTAATTAAAAAATAAATGAAAAATTGACTCTTATTGGAATGAATTATAAACCTTTTTTTTTTTTCTAAAAGAGTTGAGAAAAAAAATGTTCTTTTATTTTTTTAGTTTTCTTCTGTTTTATTTTTTACTTTTTTATTTTACGTATTGAAACAATTTTTAAATGTTTAAAACATTTTAAAAAATTTAAATAATAGACAATTTTTAAAAGAGTGGATTATTTTTCTTTGGAAACGATTGAATTGTGACGAACTCTCCCCTCTAATAAAAAATCATCTTCTTTATTGAGTGTGCCTTTTTATCAATTATATTCATAAATAAAAAAAAAATATTCACGAGATGTTTGTACGATTTGCTTCTCTTGATAATGTGGTGGAAAAATAGTTAATAATAATTAAATAATTAATCGTTAATCTTTGTAACTATATGCCGTGTCACTGCTATACTATCCGTAATATTGTGTAATAAACGAATTTATTATATAGTGAAACTCTTTAGAATTATTATAAAAAAAATAATAAATAAAAATACGACGCGACAGCGCTTTCGAAGCAGGACGCAGAGGCGTTTTTTTTAATTGTAATATTGCGTAGCTTTACTCTTAGTCCGCTAGTTAGACAAAAAAAAAGGAAAAGCGTTTAGATACTTGCTCAATAAGTAAAAAAAATAAACAAAAAATAACAAAAAAAATTATGGAAAATTCGCTTTTTATAATGTAGAATCAATTGACGATGTGCACTACTATTATGAATCGCGAGGCTAATCACTGCTGAGCTCGGATATTGACTGATATTTTACGAAGAAAGTCTTATTTTCTTTCTTCAATCATTGAAAACCAAAAAAAACCAAAAAAAAAAAAAAAAAAAAAGTGAAAAAAACAAGAATCAAGTGATTTTTCTTATAATTAATTTTTCTTCGTTTGTTTTGATCAATTATTTCAGAAAAATGTTTTTCTATTTTTAAATTATGTATTCGTTTTTGTAAATTAATAATAATTCTTAATTAATTCTTTCAAGAATCTTGCTTGAATTTCGCAGACTTGTTTTTTCTCGTGAGAAAACTAGAAATCATTCAATTTTTTAATTAATATTATATAAATATACAAACTACGAAAGTTTATTGTGATAGAGATTTCAGCTTCTCGAAAAAAAAGAAAACAAATTATAATGAACTTGTGAATTATCAACTGTTTTTTGAAAAATTGTATAAGCAATCAAAAAAAAAAAAGAAAAATTCTTTTTTTTCCAAATATTGTGATTAGCCCAGCCACCCAAAAAAAAAATTTTGATCTAATTGTACATTTGTGATTTTTGTTAACAAAAAAAAAAATATTTTCAATTCTGTGTTTTTTGTGATAAATTTTTTGCACGTTAAGCGTTTAGGCAATTATTGCTTTTCCATTTTTTCCAAATAAGAAAAATATCCTAGTTGCTTGCCAATTGTTCAATGTCAATTTTATCGGAGATGCAAAATAAAAAGAAATAATTACGAGCAATTCAAATTTCGATGAGCGTCAAATTTAAAGGCGCTCAACAAAAAGAGTAGAGTTAAGTAAACAAAAACAAAATGAAACTTTTGAGCTTAACGATATTTGCCTGCAAAAAAAAATCTCCTGATGTTTGTAAATCTTTAAAAAAAAACTATTATTGTTGTTTTTATCATGTGATTATATTTATCGAATCGAGTGTAAATTTCAAAGATTGAAATTATAAACTTCGAAAAATAATTAATTTTGTTTTAAAAACGCTTTTCGTTCCAAGACTTCGAGGTGCTTAATCGTTAATAACCAAATAAGTTTATATTTAGGCATTTGTGGGAAAGAATAAAAAAAAACCAAAACGCGAAGCAAAATGTACTTTGTGAGTACTATTCTTGAATTTTGAAGTGTTTCTATTTCCTATTTATGATCGTTTGTACCGCTGTGAAATAAAAAAAAAATAAATGTGTCGTTTTAGACGACAGATAACAAAAAGAAAAAAAATGAAAAAAAAATTTTAAAAAAATACATGGGTGATGACGATTACATTTTAACAATCCATTTTATGTATATCTTTGAACCTGCTGAAAATAATTGGCAGTTGCGTTTTATTCAAAGTGTCCTTTTCCTGTAAACTTGTTTGTCCCAAAAAAAGATGATAAATAAATGGTATCTTTCATGTTCAGATAAAAAAAACGAGTTTTTTATTCTTCATTCCTGCTTTCTAAATATTAATTGAAGATTAAAGATTCAATGTTAATAAAAAAGATTATGATTTAATTAAATTAATTACAGGCATCACAGATAGACCCTATTTTCCCTTTTTTCAATTTTGTCACCTTTATTCCCTTTTTGGTGATTTGTCTCCCTTTTTCACCTTTTTCTAATCAAAAATAAACAATTTTTTCTTTTTTTTTAAATCCATTTCAAAGTTGTAAATCATAAAATTTGGACACAATGTTAGAATTCAGTGCGTTTTATTTTTGATTTATATTATTGATACCATAACACAATTTATATATATAAAGGCGTTTTTTGTAAAATTTCAATTTTAAATAAACTAATTAAATAATAAAAATTTCACAGGAATTCTATTATGTATTTACAAATTCTTTATAAATTTCTTCGCAATAATTCAATTATTTTCATAAATAATGAAAACTTTACAGGTTTTCAATTATTTTTATAAATAATAAAAAACTTTACAGGTTTTCAATTATTTTCATAAATAATAAAACTCATCGCAAAATTTCAATTATTTTTAACACAAATTTTAATGGATTATTATTTATTTATTTTCAAAAATTTTAATGAAATTCTTTTTAACTATTCAATTTCCTTCAAAATTTTTCAATAATTATTTCAATAAAATTTTACATAAAGAATTCAATTAGGTATTTAAAAAGAAATATATTATTATTAAAAAATTCATCTCAAGAATTCAATTATATTTTCAAAAGTAATAGAATTCTTCGTATAAATTCAATTATTGTCAAAAGTTTAAAAAAATTATCGTCAAAATTTCAATTATCTTCGTGAATAATAAAATTTTTCTCCAAAATTCAATTATTTTCAAAAATTTTAATTAAATTCTTGGCAAAATTTTCTTAATTCAATAAATTTTTTTTACAGAAATTCAATAATTATGGTCAAAAGTTTTAAAAAAATTTTCGACAAAATTTCAATTATCTTAGTGAATAATAAAATTTAAATTATTTTCAAAAACTTTAATAAAATTATCGACAAAATTTCAATTATCTTTGTGAATAATAAAATTTTTCTCCAAAATTCAATATTATTTTCAAAAATTTTACTAAAATTCTTGGCAAAATTTCAATTATTTTCAAAAAAGTTTCTTAATTCAATAACAATTTTTTTACAAAGATTTAATTATTTTTAATACAATTTTAATCTAATTTCTCAAAAAACGAAATTTTTCTTAAAAATTTTATTGAAATTCCGTCAAAAGAATTTTAATTATACATTTTAAAAATTTGTTGATAAAATTCTTTAAATGAGAGTTCAATTTTAAAAAACATTCAATTCCTCAGTAAATTATTTATTCTTGTATTTTTAAATAATTGAATTCTCGTAGAATTTTCTAATAAAAATTTATTTAAATATGAATTTCAGTTAAATTGAAACTAACTTCTCTAAATTTGTAGCAGTAAAAATGTTTTCTAATTTGAATTAGTGACTGACTTTTTGCTTTCGAATTAGCAGATTTCACTAATAAATAGTCATTTCTACTAATTTAATAGTAAAATTTACTAATTCAAAAGCAAAAAGTCAGTCACTAATTCCAATTAGTAAACATTTTTACAAATTAAAATTTAGAGAGAAAGTATGATAGCGTGAAATTTTAGAAATAATTGAATTTTCAAAAGGTTTCAAAATATAATTTTTGAATGCTTGAGTTTTTTATACTTAATTAAAAATTGTGTGTAGTTTAAATTTTTTTGAAAAAGTTTAATTGAATTTTTTTTTATTTATTTGATGTTTTTATTTTCTAATATATATTTGATTGAAGAATTTCCGAATAATCGATGAAATTTCGTAAAATTAAATTGTAAACAAAAGAATTTGAAAATTTTCAAAGAAATTTTTCAAAAATTATTAGAAATAATTAATTTATAAAGAAGAATTTTAGTTAAAACTTCTGGAAAACAATAATTGAATTGAAGTGATAAAAGTAATTTTAAATAAGTTTCAGTAACAATATTCTTATAATATAAAATAATGATTTTATCAGTCGGTCATTTTTAATAATATTTATGAAACATGAAGATATCGATTGCTCCGAGTCGATTCTTCATTCGATTTCTTCGAATCGCATCGATTTCTTCATGTTTTATAACAATTTTTTATTTTTTAAATCTTAATTCCTATGGAAAAATAATAATTTTTTTCTATCTAACCATTTTTAGAGTGGAGCAGAATAATTTTTAGGGCCAGGGAAAAAGTAAAAATTCTGCCCCGAAATCATGGAAAAAGAAAATCAAATTTTCGTGGGAACCCTCAAGTATAAATAAATTATTGAAATTGTTTTTTCTTTGAAAAAATAGACAGAGTTTCAACTTAAACCTTTTTTGTTTATTTTATGATTCTTTTATATATCCTGAACGTTTTCATTTGACGTCAGAATCTTTTTTTCGTATTTACAGTTTTTTTTCAATTGCATTCAGTGTACATACAGCATACCGTGTGATAAAGAATATTAAAATGATGCGTCACGCAAAAATTTTTTTTTTTTCAATGTCTTCTGTTAAAAATATACAAACGAGTAAGTCCTGTTTTAAAAATGATCATTCAACAATAATGTATTTTAAGATTTATTTTTTTTTGTGTTGCTTCTTCCTTTATGCGTTAATCCATTTTTACCTTTATATTAAAAAAACTATACTTAAAAAAATTACACTTTGTAAAAAGATATATCGCTTGATGCTTTTAAAAATAAGAAATTAAATTTTTCATTCTTTGCATATTTTGTTTTTTTGATATATAATGTATACCTTCCAAAAGAAAAAAAATATTTCAAATTAAAAATTAATTGTAAAAAAAGGACATTTTTTTGTAGTTCCCTTTTCCGTAAAATTTATCCGATATTTTCTAAATATGTGAAATAAATTATTCACAAACGCATTTTTTTTCTCTTTTTTTTCTTTATTTAAGAAATAATGCAATTTTTTGTCTCTTGGACATTACCATCTGCTTTTTCAATTTCTGTCAATAATGTGTGAAATATATCAGCAACAGACTGAAAGAAAAGATATTTTTGTAATCATCTTTTTGTTATCTAAAAATTCGAATTTTATTATAAAATAATATTATATTATTTTTTTAAAAATGTCCCTAAAGTTCTGAACGTAATGGACGAAATTATTTTTTTTAATTTTAAATTTTACTATAAAAAATATTGAATCATGTACTTAAAAAAATACATTAGTTTTGAATTTTTATTTTTTTGTGGGTAATTTATGAAAATACAATAAAAAAATATTTCGTTTATACGTTCAGAATGTTTGAAACATTAAAAAAAATTCTAGTTGTATTAATAAGGAAAAAATTCTAAACTTTAATATATTTCTATCACATTAATTAAACGTACCTCATTTTGTTTAGCACTAGTTTCGAGAAATACAGCACGCCACGAATCGGCCAAGCGTTTTCCTTGTTCAGTAGTGACCATTCGATCTACATAAAGATCAGTTTTGTTTCCTACCAATACGATAGGTACACTGCAAAAAGATCAATTATTAAAATTAATTGCTGGACAATTAAAATTACATTTCTCGAATACAAATCAAAATAATAAAAAATAATTGAAAATATAATGAAATTGAAGATTGAGAAAAGAAATACACTCACTGGACTTTGCCTGTAATATCTAGTAATTTATCATAAATGATTTGCACAACTTCGAAACTTTTTGCACTAGTTATACTATATACTAGAACGTAGCCATGAATGTCCATCGAGTACTGAGTGGGAAATATACTGTACTCATCTTGACCGGCTGTATCGACCAGTTTAACTTCATAATCTTGACTATTGACACGTGTGGTCTTTGTAAAAGCTGTAAAAAACATTTATTTATCACAACTCAATATACTCAATGTTCAGGGTAAAATCATTTTTCTTGGCAATTTATAGAAAAAGAAATTAATTTATTATTCATAATTTAAAGCAGATATCATTAAAATTATCACAACAATGAACAATTTTTTGATAAATTTTACTAGTTTTCATGCAAATGCAAAAAGAGAAAAAAAGCAGAAGTAGAAAAAATAAACTTAAAATTAATTAAAAATAAATAAAAATTGATAGCAAATAAATTAATAAAATTTTAAAAATTTGATTGCAATTAATTCAGACCTCGGATCGAATAGAAAGGGTAAAAAAAAGTCGAAAAAATCGTGTTTTACCTTTTTCTTTTATCTCAATATTAACTTCAATTCTACTTTTTTTGTAAAAATTAATTATTTTTAAACTTCTTTTACGTATTTTACATATTCTTCTTCAAAAGCACCATTATTTTTCAAAATTTTAATAAAATTCGTTAAAAAATAAAATTTATTTCAATAAAATTTGACGAAATTTCTAACTGTTTGATAATTTTTTAATTAATTTTGGGAATTCAAATTTCTAAAAATTATAATTGAATTTTCTCAAAAAAAATCTGATTCTCTCAGAATTTCTAAATTAAATCATTTAAAACTTGAATAATTTTGTTAAATGTATATGTTAAAAACATTTATTGTTATCTTTTCCCATTAATTAAATTCTAAACACTTTCAATTTGATACTTTCTGAAATTTAATTATTTCTATAAATTACAACTATAAGTCTTTCAAAATTAATTATTTTTTTTTTAATTTTCAACTAAAATGATTCAAAAGTTTTATAATATTTAAAAATAAATATTAAAATACTACAGAAATTCTACATTAATTGAAATTTTCACAAGTTTTTTGTTTGAAACTTTTTGAAATTTAATTTATTCTAACAATTGCAACTGTAACTTTTCCAAAATTATTTTAAAATATTTCAGTTAAATTATTTCCCTGAAAGTTGAAAACTAAATTTTTTAAATAATTCTGAAATCCTCCTGTTTTTTAATTCAATTTTATGAAATTTCGATTAGTCGAAAACTTTTAATATACATATTTGAAAATTAAAAAAATTTCAAAAAAATTTGAATACAAATTCAAAAAAATAATGTTTTTCAGAATTTTTAATTATATTTTAAAATTTTTATTTTCAAAAATCTCAATTAGTTTGAAACTTTTTGAAATTTAATTTATTCTAACAATTACAACTGTAACTTCTCGAAAATTATTTTAAAATATTTCATTTTAAATTATTTTCTTTAACTTTTAACTAAAATTTTAAAAATAATTCTAAAATCCTCTTGTTTTTTAATTCAATTTTATAAAATTTAAATTATTCGAAAAGTATTAAAAATATATATTTGAAGATTAAAGTAATTTTAACAAAAAAATTGAATACAAATTCATAAAAAAGAATTCTTTCCCAATTTTTAATTATAATTTTCAAAAATCTAAATTTCAAACTTTTTGAAATCTAATAATTTATAAAAATTGTAAATACAACTCTTACGAAATTGAATCATTTTCTAGAATTTTAAGTAAAATTCTTCTATAAATTAATTCATTTTTTAAAATAATGTTGGGAGAGTTCTTTGAGGATTCAATAATTATTCAACCAAATTTATTTATTTCAACAAATGTTGAATTCAAATTTTTCAAATAATAAATTTCTTTAGAATTTTTAATGAAAATTAGTCAAAATTGAAATTATCTAAAATTCCAATTTAAAATATTTTGAATTTCAATTATTTATAAAAAAATTTCTGGTACAATTAATTAAACATTCAATTATTTTTGCGAATTTTCAGAAAGTTTTTAGAGAATTAAATTTATTATTTAAATATAAAAATTAAATTAATTATCGAAATTGAAATTACAACTCTTCATGGATTTTTTTGAGAAATTTAATATTTTTTCACTACATTAGATAAAATTTTATGATTTTCCTTAATTTGTTAGAAAAATGTAACTGTCGAAATTTATAAAAATGTAAAAAAAATAAATTAAAAAGTATGATTTTCTATATTAAACAATTAATTTTTAAATAGTATTAAATTTATATTATTCTTTATATTTCAAATTTAGCTTCAAAAAAATTCTATTTCTTCAAATGTATTTCTTCTTTAGAAAATATTTAAACAGAAAAAAATGTCGTTTATTTGATCTTTCAAAATTTCATTAAAATTCACTTATAAAAAACTTGCAAGAAAAAGCCAATCATCAGGTAAAAATTTGTTTATAATTTTTTTACACTACATGATAAGCAGAATAAAGTAGCATTTTATATACCGCACAAAAAATGTTATTTCCTTTCAAAATATGCAGAAGAAAAGTTGAAAAAGTCACCTTTTATTAAAAGAAATCTAAAAATACTATCCGAGGCCTGTAAATTTTTCAGTTTCATTCAGGAATTTTCTTGTATAAAAAAAATCTTTATCGATTACGTTAGGACTTAGAAAACGTTCTCCTCTGACGTAATCAACAAACAAAAAAAAGTAAGGTATGAAACTGTTTTAACAATAGAGGATTCAGAACGCGATTCCTGTCAGGGTCTACAGGAAATACTAACGGTGGAATTATATATCAGTGAAGTTGCGTGCAAGATACAAGTACTTCTTACTGTTTTCAATAGTGGGATCGTAAGAGTCCACAAACTGTCCCTCGACAAACTGTATACTAAGTGAAGATTTTCCTGAAAAAAATACGTTTTTTGTTATATTCATCTTTTTTAGAAAATGATTAGAAATTTAATTCAGAAAAATTAAATTCTTTATTACAATTTCCTGATTTTTTCTTTCATCTAATTCTTCAAAACTTGTAAAAAAAAGTTTCTTTGATTAGTCAATAGATGAATAAAAATAGTTTGTTTTGTTTAAACTCCAAAAAAATGTTTTAATTTTAAAAAATAAAGAAATAGACTGAAAATCAACATACCTACAGATCTATAACCCATAATGGCTATTTTCCTTTGTTTTGCTGGCATTTTGCAGCAGTTGAGAAACTTAAGGCATACATATAAATACAAGCATGGTGCAGAATATTAACTGCTAAAACCTGCAAACAAATTAAAAAAAAATTAATTACCCCAACATACATGTAATAAAAATATCAGAAAAATAATTAGAATATTTTCATTAAAAGAAAATCGATCTAATAGCTTTCAGTTGCATTATTTCTCTATTTTAATACTTAATAACCATGATTTAATGAATTCTAAATTTTCAAATGTAGGTCAAGAAAAATAACCTTAAAAGAAACTCATGTTCCTCGATATTTTTTTTCTAGAAGAAAAAAATTTATTATAATTCAGCAAAAAATACAATTTTCAATAAACAATATCTAAACCAATATTATATATTTAGTAAATTTCTTTTTCATTCCATAAACTTATTTATTTTCCTATTAAAAAAAACTATTCAAGTCATTTATCAGTATGGAAAGAATTTTTTTAACCTGTGACATTCTTAAAAAATGCATAAATGCTTTGAAACAGGTCAAAGAGTCAATTTTTATTTTCAAAAAATAATAAAATAAAGTTTCCATTCGTATTCTACGTCTTGGAATTAAAGTGCAATGTTTTTCGATAAAATGAACTGTCATAGAAAAAAAAGGTATATCTGCGAGAATTACTTTTTTTTCTCCTCTTTTGTTATTTTGCTGTTAAGATATCCTTGGATATTTTTTTTCCTTAATAAGTAGAGACCAATACAATGATAACGGAAGCACAAGTGAAAAGCGTATATAAATATTGTTCTCACAACGCACCGAAACGTATATACACGGTTCTCTCACTTAACACCAATTGACACTAAAAATTATTGGATATTTCACAGTGTGTTGTATTATTTTAACACCAAAGAAAAATGAGTTTCATGAACGAGAGAGAAAAAAACACAATTAATGCGCATGGGAAAAGTAAAATTTTACCCAGAAAAAAGCGTGCACACGCGATAAGGAGAATTTCTATATATGAACGTAATTAATATTCAAGTTTACATTCATAAAGTTTACATTAGTAAAATTTTAGTAGTAAAAACGTAACGTGTCTATCACGCAAACGCAATTTACAGCTGCCCACTCACTAAAAACACTGTGTACGATGCACTGAACAATACAACCAGCAATTTTCTCTTATGTGCATATAGAAAAAATATAGAATATACTATTGGCAACAATGAAACAGAAGTAAACATAACCATAAAATTTAATATTCATTTTTTACTTTTCCACTTGATTGTTAAGATAAAGTGATCAAAAATTCAATTACCTATCAATAGGTAAACATTTTTAGTTGAATTTTATTAATTTGAATGAAGAAATAAGGTAGATTTTTGTTTAAAAACTCCGACTGTTAGTTTTACCTGTAATTCCGCTGGAGTGTACAATTTAATCTTTGACAGGACACAAGGACAGTTGCAAAATGCAAGTTGCAAGAAAAGATATTAGGTCAAGTTTACAATGAAACCACAGCGCGCTCAGTGCGGACAAAATGGAAACTAACCTTAAAATAAAATAATAAATATTTTGGCGCGAAATTTAAAAACTGTTTTAATGTAATTAAATATAATAATAACAATAAATAATTTAAACACACTAATTAATTATTAATATTTATTATTTTCTTAAATTTAAGAAAATTCTTCTAGAAACAATTTAATTATTTTCGAAAATTAAAATTCTTTTGCCAGAATTTTTGAATTTATTTTCAACAATAATAAAATTCTCTCTATAGGAATTCAATTATTTTCAATACAATTATTATTTTAAAGAATAAATTCAATTATTATTAGAAATTTTAATAAAAATTATTACATTACGTAATAACGGTTAAAAATTTTTAAAAGGGACTGTACTCTCATTGGGAAGATGAAAATTGCCGCCTCACCTCTCTCTCCACACTGCACACTCTTCAAAATGGTAAGAATCTTATTCATTTTATCATTTTTCTTACTAAATATTTGTTAATTCTTGTAAATAATTGTTGCAAGAATGATTAATTATAAAATATTGGGTCAAAATAGTCCATACAGATATGAATAACAATGATTTAGCTCAATGTCGTTCAGTGAGCATTAGCAATGAAATAGCATTAAAAATTATATAGAAATTGTTCTGATTTAATGAATCTGTGTTAAAAATATTGTTCCCCCTGCCGGAAGAATAGACTGAAATTGTACTGGGGAATTAGTACTGAGAGCTCAGTCTATTTCAGTCAAAATTTGCTGCGTTTTAGCACTGAATATTGTACTGGGAAAAATTACCTGCAAAAGGGTCGCTATAGGTGGTGTTTATGGCCTAACCGTCATTAAGTTGAAGGACGAATATTTCTTTGTCAATGTTAAAAATAATTTTTATTTATACTTCAACATTATATTTGTTTTTCATGAACTCAGATTCTTCGCAAGTAATTATAATATATGCTAAATGTTCATGTGAATCTAAATTCAAAAATAATATCTGTTTTTACGTAACAATTAGAGTTCGCGAGATAGTTCATAACTTTTTTAAATAATAATTTTTTATAATGAATTTTAGATATTTGTAATCATAAAGCACCACAGATTTAAATTTTTTGGTTTTAAAAATTGTGTTATTTAAATTGTAAACTTTTTAAATCATAAAATTATAATCCCATACAACAATAGGCTTTCGGGTCTATTGTTAAAGCAGGGGTTGCAATATAAGTTTAAAACTTAACGGGAATTTCATTGAAAATTTTGTTATCCTTTTTTATTTTCACTTCCAGACTGTTAACAATGGTTTGTTGACAAAACCTACATTTTAAACTATTGTTAAAGGACTTTAAAAATGTCTACCGAAACATTAAAAAAAAATCAGACTGAAATTGTACTGAGCCCAGTACAATTTCAGTCTATTTCAGTCTATTCTTCCGACAGGGCCATTCTACCTATAATTATTTTCTGTTATTCTTCTTCTTTTGTTTAAATGGCCTCTTGTATATACAAATAGCCAGTACTATTAATTGATTAATAATTGAACGTATTAATCCGGAGTTTTTATATTAGAATTGTCCTAGTAGTTAGTTTTATTTCAGTCCAAAGTTAGTCAGGCTTGTAGTAAGCGATTACTCGATTGACGACTATTACAGAGCCGTTAGCTGCGACCCATACATCGGCCAGTGATTTCCATTAGATCCGTTATGACTAGTGTTGGTTGGTTGAGGAGGCGTGTGTGCGTCCTTCTGTTGTTGACGCCAATGATAGTAGTGGCGCGAGGTTTGTGCGTTTTTAATTCTTTTCTTTTTTAAAAAAAAAGGAAACAAAATTTCTGTTGGCACAATTATAGATCAGTAAGATATATCCATTGTTGTAAGGTATTTTGCGATGAAAATTAATTCAGGAATCCAAAGCGAGCATTACTATTATTCTAGTCGACTGCCATAGTGAGAGGAAAAAGTTATAGGAATTTTAAGTATACAATTCAACTCGCTTCAATTAAAGAGCCCATCCAGAAAGTCCAAAACTAATTACAATTTTAAATTTTAATTTATTTGAAATCAGATATCTTTGAAATTTATATCATATAATCATGTTCCCACTCGAAAAGAATTTACCGATATTAACTGTTATTTCAAGATCTGGATTGAAAATTAGTTGGTCAATATTAAACTCATCAAAATTGAATTGTGGCAACCTTTTCAACAGAAATGCCTCGAGGGCTGGCCTCTGAGCAGAGAGCAAAGGACAGTTTTTAAATAAATGAATTAACGATTTAAAGTCATTGCCACAAGGGCACTCCAGAGGTAAGGTCCATCCCATTCGGGCGAAGTGCTCTCCCGTGCAGATGTGCGAAGTACGTAGTCGAGTTATAGTATTGATATTTCTCCTTGATGTCTCGACACCCCGGAACCAAGGCCTTTTTGTTTTAACTGTGATGTGATTAAAGTATTTATTTGTTAGAGGAGTGGAGAAGGAATAGGGCCATGTGAGATTCAGCCAATGTTCATAATCCCTGCCAATCAGCCGAAGAAGATCGCCAGGAGGGCCACCCTGAAGATTACCAAAGGGGAGGGATAGGGCATTACGAGCCCAACCATCAGCAAGTTCGTTGCCCCGGATACCCGAGTGAGAGGGGATCCAAATGAACGAGACTAAACTGCCTCTATCCAGAAGGGCATTGATCTCCTTCATGATTCTCTTTAGTAAAGGGTGTGGCGAGGGGTTAATGAAACGATATTTAATTTCATTGAGGGCATTCTGTGAGTCAGAAATAATCAGTATATTGTCCAGGTTCTGTTGGACAGCCTCCTTAACGGCTGAGAGGATAGCATAAAGCTCGCATGTATCTATCAGCATGAGACCGCTCAAACGAACACTGAAATTTATATTTAGTTTTGGAATGACAAAGCTAGCACCCGAAGTGCTCTTAACTGGATCATGTGATCCATCGGTATAAATGTCAGTGAAATCCTCGTACTTGGCCAGAAGCAATTCAGAAAAGGCCTGTGCCGGCGAGACATGTGATTTGATCTCCAGACCAATCTGGAGGTCGACATCAACATCTCTAATGAGATCGTTCCAGGTCATCTCAAATCGGAGGGAGGGCTTTTTGATCCTGCCGCACCTACTCATAATCTGGGATACATCCCCAAACGCCGTCAACAGAGGCAGTCGAATTATTGGAGAGGGATTAGAATTTTGGTTGTTCAGGTTGATTCTATTTTGTAAACATTGTAATTTTGTGAAGAGTGGATTTAAAGTCCAGGACAGATTGCGGATCATATGACGCCTGTTGATAAGAGATCTTCGCAAAGATAGTGGTGGGATATTAGCCTCAGAAAGGAGTATTCCAATCGGTGTTGACCTCATGCAACCGAGAATAGTTCGCAAGGCCTGATTTTGGATCCGATCTAAAGACCTCAGACCATTCTGGGCCGACTCGGCAAAGAACTGGCTACCCCATTCAAGATGTGAGCGAGTTAACCCCTTGAATACGGTGAGCAGTGATGACGGGCTCGCCCCCCAAGAGATCCTAGACATTGATTTGATTACATTAAGCGTTTTGGTCGCCTTCTGCGAAATTTCCCTTACGTGTTTCTGCCAACCGAGTTTTCTGTCCAGAATTATACCCAAGTAAGTCAATTCAGATTGTGCTGTGACCGTGGAATTTTCGATTTCAATAAAACAATTTTCGAAATTCTCATTTGATCTTGTGAAGATAGTCAGCTGGGACTTTCCCGGGGATATGGACAGGCCCACTTCTGCGAGCCAAGGTGTCAAATCCAAAATAGTTTTTTCCAGGAGACGGAGGGAGGATTGGAGATCCTTAGATGTGATGTACAGAAGTAGGTCATCAGCAAACATCAACCACTTGACTGCACCAGGAACAACCTCACCAATCCTGCTCAACGACAGATTAAATAACAACGGGGACAAAACTCCACCTTGTGGTACACCAATAAAAGAATCTCTAGATTTTTCACTTTCGGAATCAAAGTATAAATGTTTAGCCGTAATAATAAAAGAGATAAAATTGATTATTCTTGCAGGAGTTCCCAGTTCCATTAATCTATTATAAATAGATTGTGGAAGGATATTAGAAAATGCTCCCTTTAAGTCGACCGCTAATGCGAATGTATGTTCTCGGTTAGTAAAACCCTTAGTAACATCAGTTACAAAGACCGAAACGCAGTCCGTCGTCGACCTTCCCCTCCTAAATCCAAACTGATTCATAGGAATCCCATCGTAAAATTCGACATGATGTTCGAGTCTCTTCTGAATAATTTTTTCAAAAAGTTTGCAGACATTTGATGTGAGAGAAATGGGGCGATAACCCTTTCCCTGAGGTTTGGGCAAGAAGACTACTCTAGTATCTCTCCATGATTCCGGGAATATTGATTTAGTAAAAAATATATTGAAAAGCGATAGTAGGAATTGTTTAGCTTTAAGCGGAAGTTTTTTTAGGATATCATATGTGATAGAATCTGGGCCGGGTGAGGTATTTTTTTTAATGCTGTTTATAGCATTGTGAAATTCAATTTTAGAAAAAGGATTATTGATCAGAGAGTCGCCGTTAAAGTTAGTAAGCAGTGGGAGCAGTGTTGGTAGGACTTCCTCCTGGACAAGGTCATTCTGTAATTTTATAAAAATTTCAGAGTTAGGGTCAGTAGAAATCCCCGTTCTCAGGGGTTGGGTGGCCGTAGCAAATGCTTTGACCTTGGACCATATATGACTCATTCCCATTGTAGGGCTGATGTTATTACAAAATTCAACAAAGGCAACTTTCTTTTTATTTCTAAGAAACCACTTAACCTCATTATCTATTTCGTTAAATCTCAAACGATTGGTGTTTGTCTGAAGCCGAATGAACTCCTTCCTGGCAACCCTCCTCCGTACCAGAGCCTGGTCACACTCTTCATCCCACCACAGGGGTTGAGACTTACGTGTGCCCCTCAAGCGTGAAGGAAAGTATGCCCCCGAGTCCGTCAAACACTGAATTATCTTTTCTATAAATAGTTTATAGGTTTCTAGAGGTTGATTGTTTTCATTGAGACTGTATTCGAAGGTCTCGACGGAAGAATCAATCCGAGAGCAAAATTCGGTCCAGTCTACTTTTTTAAGGTTAAGTCGATTAGTTGTGGATTTGATGTATTTAGGGAGAAGATCCAGATCAGCAACAATCAGGTAGTGATCCGAGGAGTAAGTCTCCTCAACCACCTCAAAGCGGGAAAACTGACACAACCGCGAGGAGACGAAAATCAGGTCGATATTACTACTGTTCCTGCCATCACCACCAACAAAAGTTGGAAGAGAGTCATTCAGCGGAACCAGATCGTAATCTTCAATTAACTGGGTGAGATCGTTGCCCCTCAAGTTGCAATAGGGGGAACCCCAGGTCCAAGAATGTGCATTAAAATCACCCAGAAAGATAATCGGATGTTGAGAAGAACAGTTCTCGATAAGATCGATCCATTGTTTCATTGGAACTTTAATGTTTGGGGGTGCATATATTCCCAGGATTTGGACTTTGAATTGGGTTGTGATGATATTTATTCCCACACAATCAAGATGTCTCTGTGTTAAGTTTGAAATTATAATAGGGGAAACAGCTAGGTCCTGTTTAACCAAAATCATCACCCCACCCCCCGGGTGATCACTCCTTCGATCATGACGGAAGGTGAGATAGCCTCTAATTTGCCACACTGGGACCTTATTCGTGAGCCAGGTTTCTGTAACTATTAGTATGTCTAACTTGTGGGTGTGAAGCAATGACTCGATTTCTGGTTTCTTATTCAGGACACTGTGTGCATTCCAGTTACCATAACGCAGGCCTCTACGGCCGACAGCAGAGGACATCCTATCAATGAAAATAGACAAAAATAAAAGCTTAACTCATATAATTTGTAAGAATGTAATATTTAGTAGTAAGCAACGACTTAGGATGGAAGAGACCAAGGATGCTCAAATAAGCAAAGAAATGGGGATGAAACACAAACCAAGACAAAAATAAACAAGGAGGGAAGAACAGAATTAACTAAAAATAAAATTAAAAGGAGAAGTATAACAATTAAGTAGCCTAAATTTTCTTTCTCTTACTTCCATCCCCTTTACAACAATAAACGGCTCAAACTTTTCTCCCTTCTTTCCAAAAAAAAGAAGAGAAAAAAAAAGAAAAAAGAAAAATCAGAGAACAACACTAATCAAAAACCTTACACCAAGAACAAAAAACGGTTTTGTTTTTTTTTTCTTTTTTTCCTCCTCCTTCCTTCCTCCTTCCTTTTAATTTATTTATTTATTTATTTTTTAATTTTTAAAAAATTTTTGTTTATTTATTTATTTTTCTTAATCAGAAAATATAAGTTTAGGCGTTTTACGTGAGTGTATTATGACTCAAATCAAGGACTGTTGTGGCAGTCGGAAATTAGAAACATGCAATCCTTCATTCATTCAGGACAAAATTAATTAGTAAGTAGAACGCAAAAACAATAAAAAAAGGGAGAGAACAACAGAAACAAACGTACAGAAAAGAAAAAAAATGTAACAAACCAACCACCCAATTATATTGGGAGTGCATTCATATGAAACTAAGATAAGGACATGCAGTTAAAAAGAAAAAGTAATAGTACCATGCAATTTAAGGATATAAAAAGACCAAATTTTCTCATTGTTCCCTTTTCCAATAAACAACACAAGTTATTTGAAATTAATTATGATCCCTCAATACTGATCATCATTACTCCACGATCCTCAGTGGTTGAGGTATTCGTTTAACTCATCCTCGAGTGATCTCAACTGAGAGATAGGAGAGGCCAGATTTTCTTGTATAGTTCCTAGTAAATCAGAGTTCGATCTATTTAAAGCAATTAGTGTATCTACTGCAGTGAGTTGTTCCGTTGTGCACGGTGGAAGATTCAATTTTAAGGAAGAGAGATTTAATGTCTTTTGTTGAGAGGTAGAAGGGAGTTCCTCCCCTCGAGGGTCAGCCTTATCCGAAGCAGCATATGTGGGTTCAGGTTCAACAAGTCCATCAGGGAGAGGGGGGGCAACTATGAGGGAGTCATTCCTAGAATGAATGACTCCATCAAGATCTGGATTTTCCGCAAAAAACATCGCCTTTGCCTCAGAGCGATTGCAATTTGTTGTATATCTCAATTTCAAGATCCCGAACTCCATCTTAAAGATGGGGCACAGGTTCGATGAGGCGACATGTTCTCTCTTACAATTCTTACAGCATGGTGGCAGTTCTTTATAAGGACACAAGTCTGTGAGGTGTCTACCTGAGCAATGCTCACATGAGGGGTAGGTAGACCTGCATTGGTTCTTGGTGTGACAGAACCTCTGGCACCTAAAGCATCTACGGGGTCTTTGAATCACCGGGGTGATTTGGATTGAGAAACCTCCGACTGTGATGAATCTTGGGACAGTGAGACTGTTGAAGGAGAACTCAACTCTGTTGGTAATAATGTTTGGTGGTCGCACCAGCCTTTTAATACAGGTTATGTTCTTCAATTCCTCAGGAGAACTGACTCTGACTATATCCCTGACCGAACGCTCAGGAGGAAACCAGTCAGTAAAACCCCGTTTATAGAGAAAGGTGTCAGGAATGAACATCCTATAACCACCATTTCTAAGGGCGGCGGAGGAAACTAGGTCATTGGCACTTTGAAAATGCTCACACTCGACCTTAATCTGGTTTATGCCGGTTCGTGAGACTTGTTTACCCCCAGAGACAATTGGAGTAAGGAGATCAATGACCTTGATAGGGTCTAACTTGCCGAGATTTAATCCCGACACCGTACTTTCAATGAAAACAACAAAGGGAGATGCACTGAAGGCTGTATAGAGGGACATAGTACCAGTGCTATGCCAATTCAGGTCTGATTCCTCATAGACAATGTATTCGTTCGAGTTCACGGTGTTGGCTGCAGGATCAGCAAGGGTAACCAATGCCTCGTCAGGCCCAGCATGGATGGAGGGGGACGCGATAATGGTAGGCGTGTCAGAGATCGTTTTTGAGTGTTCACCCACTGAATGGGCAAAATCACCAAGCATCACCATATTATTGGCCCTCTTAGCAGTCTGCTTCAGCGACTCGCCAGAATCATTGTGCTGTGTGGGAGCATTAGTGGTGGGGGAAGGATTCACTCTTTTGCGCTTGGGTGTTTGGGATGAGGACATATCAGGGAATTGAGTTATGTTCATACCGGTAAGCAAATCTAGGTTCTTAGCTGGAGTTGATGTAGCGTATATTTGACCAGGCGTTGGTTCGGGGATGCCGGAAAGATCACCGTGTATTTCACCGTCATCAATCGAGACTAATGAGGACGACAGTCCTTCCTGTTGGTCTCGTTCTGGAAGTACGCTTTCTCCACCCGAGGTGAGCACTCCGCGCGAACAAGCAGGTTGGTTAGACATCTCAGTACCTGACGAGAATAAGTAAATTTTAGAAAAAGAGAAATATTTAAATAAACAAAAAAAATAAGTTCAGTCTGCATATAAGAACCACAAACTAAACAGTATCTATCTGTTTGCTTGCTTTACTCTCTCTCCTCTACTCCTCACCCTCCTCTCACTTTCCCTATGAAAGAAACAAATTGAAATGAGGAATCAACTCCGATTAGCCTCAGCTCTCTACCAAAACAGCACCGAGTGCAACTCTGCCAAACAATTTACTTCACAAGATCAAAAATAAAAATACAGAAAAGGAAATTGACAAGCAATACATACATTTGACCGACCGCCACAATCCAATGCAGCTTATTGAATCATCTTTTTGTAACAGCAATCTCAAACAGACTAAACGTACTCAAAAAACAAAACGATTAAATTGCATATATATCGTAAGGAATATGTGTAAAAGGAGCTGAAGGCAATTTCTGTCGCTTTGATATGTAATGTATGTAAAAATAGGTGGACGTAGATTGACCTTATGTAGTTCTGTTGTAATTTAGGGTTAATCCTAATATCAGTTGATGGTGATATTCTTCTTGGTGGAACGGAGACCTGTTAATTTGTCCAGCCAGGTGTCTCGATTTTCAGCAATCCACGTGGCGAGATGAGGTTATGTTTGATCCAAGAAGTATTTGGAGGATTAGTCTTCGTGTGTTAACTATTAAGGATTTTATTCCTCTTTATGAACACATATTATTTCCTTAGTACGATCCTAAGGATGTATTTATATAAGCACAATTCAATACAATAAAGTTAATACTAAGTAATCAACAATTAAACGAACAAAACTTAGAAAAACGTGTCTCCCGCTCGACATACAAAACGGAAGTCGATCTTATGGTTCAAACAGGAACATTTCCATAAAGACTGTGAAATACTCTATTTTCTGTTATATTGCAAGAATAGTTTTTCGATGAGAAAGTTTATGCATAACTTGTTGAAATGGTTAGTTCATTTTAAGGTTAGGTACGTCATGGAGTGAAACATTTGAAATTTTCTTTAATATAAAATAAAAATTTTTATAAATTTTTTTAGTTTTGTCTTTTACATGCTTTAAAAAGTTATATTAATATTAAAAATTAAATAATGCACAAAGTTGCAATAAATTTCCTTTCAAAATCTGGCGCCATATTTATTTTAATTTTTTCAACGTTGGCAACAATGACTTTACAAGTACAAACGCGTCACTTGCTTTGCGCATTCACCTAGGGTTTAACCGTCTTTCTTCAAAGATTTTTCATTAAAAATATGTTTTTTCAATGAATTTTTCTCATTTTTAACCGAAATATCGAAAGTTCATTAATAACGACAGAGTATTTCTGTAGATATAATTGTGGAGATTCAATAATTCTGATAGATTGAACTCTCTGTGAATGCGGACAACGTGATGACTGCTCATGGTCCTTATCGTTTACGATATTGGTAAGTTTTATCAAATATAATTTAATATATTAATTTCTTCATACATTTGTTAAGTTATTACTATTCTTTTCAAAATATAGATATTTTTTATGCATGGTATTTTTGTTTGAGATTTTTTAGTTTCAACATAACCTATAATCCCTTTAATAAACAATAAGTTGTCATTGTTGCAGCATTGTAGCGTGAATTTTTAAAAAATGTTTCAGCTATTTCATTGTTTGAAATTCTATTGATATAATTCGATACAAAAATAATTTTTTTTTGTTTTAATAGGCCAGAAAATTTAGAGTATGCGTGAAGAATAAGGACAGATATCATGTAAAGAAAATTTGATTCTAAAGAGGACAAACAGAATTTGGGGTGAAACTAAATGCTGAACGAACGAACAGGGAAAATATCAGGAGGATTTTGGAAAAACTTGTATCCAGGGAGGAAATTATGCCGACAGGAATCAATTTTCTACAATGTGGTGAGTCCTTCCTATCAATTTATTTAATTACTGTGAGTAAATGTTTTAAAATATTTTTAGAATAAGAATTTTGCTTCTCTGAAGAGAATATATAAGAACATTTTTTTAGCAGCTCAATTACGAATATTTTACAGGGTTGCCACAGATCAGGGAATTCAGGGAAAAGTCAAGTAAATTAGAATTGGTCAGGGAAATCAGGGAAAAGCCAGGGAAAAACAAAATTACATTTTTGTGGCAACCCTGTTTTAGAAATTTTTAAAATATTATTACAATTTATTTTTTTGAAAATTTAATAAATACTTAATAAGTATTTATTACGTAATGGAATAATAAACAAAAAATTTCTTAAAGTATGAAATTGAACATTTATTATTTCTAAAGAAATTTTTATCCAGGTAGTTAAATATCTTTTCAATTTAATATCAAATGTCAAAAATTTGCCAATTTTTGGACATTGATTACAGTCTTTTTTTTAAACCCCTTTGTCACTATTGTCACTATGTCACTGCTATTTTTCACAATGCAAGCATTTTATAATTAATACTTTTATTATTTTACTATTATTTACTATTTTTGACACCCAACTTCCATTTTGGGTTGTCTATTATAAATTAGCGTCATATAATCTGTAGGGATTATTATTATATTTTTGCTTCGCAAGTTTGGTATATTTATTTTAATTTCTGATTGAGGCAATAAAAATAAAATTGTTAAGAAAAAATTTAATGAGATTAGTCTGAAGTGAAACCATCATTATCATGAGAAGAATGATTCCTAGAATTTTCTTCTTTTGGTGGACTTTTCCTCAAATCGTATGCACTTTCATAAATAGGACTCGAAGTTTTTTCTCTCTGTTCAGTTCTATGAAGAGTAGAACGATGGTTCATAACATTTATTACACTTTGATTAAATTTTCCCGATTTTTCTGGAAAATAAAATTTTAATTATTAAAGTAAATTAAAGAATTTCTTTTTAAAATATTACTGATTAATTTAAAAGTAAATTACTGGTACTCTCTAAATAATCTGAATTAGTAGTTTTCTGCTATAATTAAAGAGTTCGGATTCGTTTATAATAATTAAGTAGTAAGGATTTTACAAAATTAAAATATTGGTAAAGTTCACAACGTTTATGATCAACGAATTAAGAGAAAAAATGTTTCTCTAGGTCAGTTTTATAATTTTTCCTTTGAAAAATATTTTACAAATTTTTATCAATTATTTTGAGAAAAAGAATTTGTAAACTGAAAAATTGTTATTTTTCGTTTAAGAAATATTTTTTTCAATTAATCTTTGATTTTATGCGAACTTTTCTCATTTTTATGGTATAAGAAATACTAATTTAATAGTAAAATATTAATTGAAATAGTGAAAATTCTTATTTCAGTTAATAAATATATTTTACTATCAAATAAGCAGTTTCGAATAATTAAAATTATAGTAAAACTCTAACTATTTAATTGGTAAACAAATTCGCACTCTGTAATTAAAAGAAAACTACTAATTAAAACTTAGAGATTGATTGAAATTGTAATTATTTCAATATTTGAAAAATTAAAACTGAAATTTAAAATACAATTGTCAATTCCATTTATACACAAATAATTCTCATTTAATTCATAAAAATGGGTGAAAATAAATCATTTTTACCAGCCAAATCACTTCTATCCAAATATTCATGAAATAGTGTATCAAAATTGTCCATAATAAACGACTCCTTGCGTTCTGTATGGTCAAGAATAGTTTTTCTAGTTTCAGGTGGTTGCATGGCTCTTATTGTGTCACCTTGAATCATTTTATCGTAAGCTTTTAGCAGATATTTGGAAAATATGTCGTGATACCGGTTTACAATAGTCTTATCAGAAAGGCCAGTCTGCAAATTGAAAATAGTGAAAATTATTTATTTAATTATTGGAAATGAACAACTTTTTCCCTCAAACAAAATATTTTATTTATAGAAATATTTTTAATTTAAAATTAAATATACTCACTTTTTTGCAACAATACAAATCTAAAGAGGTTTGAGCCAACAAATGAGAAAATGTTTCAAATCGGTGAAACAACATTGATACAAATTGAACGAAAATAATACTGAAGAATGTTACAATGAAAACACAACCAATTGGTTCGAGACGTAAAGAATATTCTTCAACGTGAATTATCTGAAAACAATTAAGAGAGTTAATTAAATAAGAATTTAAAAAAAAAATTTTTTTGAAAACAAATGAATTGTTTCAAAGAATTTTTAAAAATTTAAAAAAAAAATTTTTTTTTTAAATTAAAAACTTTTGAAACTAATTAAATTTATTCAAGCAATTTTATTGAAATTTTTAAGAATAATTGAATTTTATCAAGAAATTTTATTAAAATTGTATTTAAAATCATTAAATTCTTTCGAGGAATTTAAGAAAAACTGCATTGAAAATAATTAAATTCTTGTCATGAATTATATTAAAATATTTAAAAATAATTAAATTGTTTCTAAGAATTTTATTTAAATTATTGACAATAATTGAATTCGTTCGAGAAATTAAATTAAAAATGTATTGAAAATAATTAAATTTTAATAAACAATAAACTTTATCAAAAATTTAAAAAAATAATCGAATTCTTGCCAAGAATTTGATTAAATAATTAAATTTCATCAAATATTATTAAAATTGTATTTAAAATAATTAAATATTTCCAAAGAATGTTTTTATTTATGAGAATAATTGAATTCTAACCAACAATTTTTGAAAATAATTTAATTATTTCCAAGAAAATGAAAATTCTCTCGAGGAATTTAGTTAAAATTGTATACTGATAATAATTGAATTCTTGCGAAAGATTTTATTAAATGTTTTGAAAATAATTGAATTATTTCAAAGAATTTTATTAATATTTTAGAAAATAATAATGATAATTAATTATATTAAAGTTGAAAGAAGTTAACAATAATTAATTAAATGTTAATAAGTAAATTTTTTAAATTTTTTTTCATCTCAAATCAGTAAAAAATTGAAATTGATATTTGAAAATAAAAAAATTTGAAATTTGCATAATAATAATAATTTTTATTAACTTATACATACATATGGATTTTCATTGTCATAAGTGATATTGTAAGTTGCTCCAAATGGCCATTCTATATGAAGTTTATCTTTGTTGAGTTGCATCACAAAAATCATTAGTACATACAGTGTGTTTATCATTAAAAATTGAAAAACACACTTGTTCCGCAAATCTTTCAAATCCTTTGCAACTTTTTCCTGAAAGCAGAATTTCGCAAGTTTATAAATTATTCCATCCCTAAAGTTTTGAACATTTAAATGATCGTCAATATTTTTGATACTACTCTTTATTTGTTTTTTCTTTTAATTAAAAAAATTATTTTAAGTATATTATATTAAAACAATTAATTCTTAACTAAATAATGTAGAAATTACATTATTTTTCAATTCAGTGCAATAATGTTTGAAAATATTTAAACTGGAAAAAAATTTTGTTCCTTTGAATGTCCAAAATTGTAGTGAATATAAATTATTATTTACGAAAAATCGTATAGTTAAAAAAAAATATAATATTTTTTTGATATATTTTTTTTCATTATATTATAATGATAATATTAGGTAATAATAATAATAATAATGATAATATTAGGTAATAATAATAATAATATTAATAATAATGAAAATAGTAATAATAACAATAAAACCAACATTTTTCTTTCTAGTTTCTTCATCCATTGGAATTGGTTTTAAATAAGCTTCAATGACATCGTTCCAAAAGTTTTCTTCTTTCTTAATGATAAAACTCACTCCACCTTTTCCCAATTCGGCATCAAATATCCATGGGGGATTGACAATGAAGTCGGTATCATTTTTAACAGATTCCAAAGAACTTCTATCGTCACTGATACTGTCACTTTCACTTTCGGAACATTCAGATTCTTCAAATTCACAACTAGATTCTATACGAGTTCTATAACTGGAACTATCTTTATCGAAGAAAATTTCTTCTTCTGATTTAGTGTCAATAACACTGTCTTTTTCTGATTTACTCATGGTTAAAATAACTGATTCTTTTTCGTGAATTACCGAATTGACACATTCAACAATTGACTCAGGATTATCGTCAACTTTTCTGAAAAAAAATTATTAAAAAGTCATTTATTTTTTGGTATTTGAGAATTATATTCAAATTTTTTTTTAAATTCTTGTCAAAATTTCAATTATTTTTATAAATAATAAAATTCTTCTCCAAGATTCAATTATTTTCCACAATTTTAATCAAATTCTTGATATTCTTTTCGGTTTTGATGAAACAAAATATTATGTTGACTCCAACTTTAGGGACTTGAAAAATAAGGGAATAATTCGAAAATGTCTGGATATAAATTATAAATTAATTTTAAATGTATTTTGTTCGTTTAAATTAAATTATTATTTACTTGTCGATTATTTTCAGTCTTTCCTCTATTCGTGAGAGCGTTTGAATACAATGATTGATTTTCATTTCTTCTTTTGATTCTCCACTGTACATACAGCATTTAAATAATTTATCCAAAATAAAATCAATCAAGTCCTTAATTGCAGAATATTTGTCATTTTTCTTTTTATCTGCATTTTTCTCAGCGTCTTCTTCATTAATTTCCTTTAAAAATTCAAAGTAATTCAAATTCTATTTTTTCAATTATTTGAAAAAACCCATTTTCTTTGGCATTTATTATTTATTGTAAAAAAAAATCAAAAACTGAAAGAATAGATAGAATTTACTTACGGTATTAGGATTGACAGGCGGTTTGGCATCTCGAGTTCCCCAAGAGATGTTGTGAAGATTAAAAAGAGCAAAAATAATTAAAAGCATATACATGGAAGGCACAGTGAGATAGTAAATAACTATGCAAATAAGACAGGACACTTCTCGAGGATGAAGAAATCCTGCTATTACTATCTGACCAGTTATTATAAAGAATAACAAGGTGCTCGGTGCGAGAAGTCCATCCTCAGAAATTTGAAGTACTATTCCCACTAGGACAATGCCCATGATTAATCCGTAAATTGTTGAAATTATCTCCGCTAACTTTAACTGTTAAAGAAAACAAATTTAAATAAAAAGAATTAATTTTATTATTATTTATTATTTTCATAAACAATAAAATTCTTCGGAGAAATTCAATTATTTTCCATAAAATATTAACAAAATTTCTCTAAAGAAATTAGTTATTTTTTAATAAAATTTTTTCAGCAATTCAATTATTTCCATACAATTAATTATTTTTGAAAGTTTTAATAAAATTCTTTGAAACAATACAATTATTTTCAAAAATTTCCCTATATTCAATGATTTTCAATATCTACTATTTTAATAAAATTTTCCAAAAGAATTCAATAATTTAAACAAAATTTTGATAAAATTCTACGCAAACATTTAATTATTGTCATAAATAATAAAAATTTCACAGAAATTCAATTATTTATCAATTTTGTTATCAATTTCTTTGTAGTAATTCAATTATTTTCATAAATAATAAAACTCAGCGCAAAATTTCAATTATTTTTAATACAATTTCAATCAAATTCCTCGAAAAATGTAATTATTCTTAAAAATTTTATTAAAATTTACCCAAAGAATTCAATTATTAAAAAATGTGTTCATAAAATTCTTTATGAGAATTCAAATATGAGAAACATTCAATTATTCAATAATTTAATGATTTTTTTTGAGTATCTTATAATTTTTAGTGTGAATACAGACCTCAAATATTATAACTTTTTCGACTTTTTTTAAAAAAATACAATTTTTTTCGATTTATTTTCAAAAATTGCGACTTTTTTGCCTTTTCTTTCAAGTTTTGCCACAAAAACTATATTTTTTGTATAAAATGCAATTTATTTCGATTTTTATAATTTTGTATAATTTAATTGAAATAATTATTTTTTTCAAGTATTTTATTACAATTTTTGAAAATCAACTTTTGAGGAGTTTTAATTGCAAATTTTGGAAATAATTGAATTCTCAAAAATTGCAAAGAAAAATCTTCATGTGTAAATTTAAAAATATGAAAATTAATGAAAATTAGCTTCTAAAAATTATATTAAAATATTTCTAAAAATAGGAATACTTATAGAATTTTTCCTTGTAGTTTTTTAAAATTCAATTATTTTCAATAATTTCAATTACATATTTCCGAAAATTCAAATACGTACAAAAAATAATAACATTAGAATGTTTTCGAATTATATTTAACACTTTGGAAAAAACAATCATGTTCAACATTTTTTATGAAAATTCAACAAAAAATTAGTTACTTTTAAATTGTTCAAAAATTCTTGAAAGACATTCAATTATTTTCGTAAAATTACATTGCAATATTTTTAAAAAACTGAGTCTTATAATTGTTTCCTTATAATTTTTTAAAATTCATTTTTATTAGATTTATTTTTGTTCGAAGATAATTATCTTCGAACAAAATAAATTAATATTTTTCAAAATTTACTTTTTTAGAATTTTTAAAATTTTGGAGAAATCATGTTTATTTTTAAAATTAAAATTCTTCATAAAAATTTGATTATTTCTTTTTATATTTTTTGAAAATTCAATTATTTTTAAAAGATTTTACCAAATTTCAATTATTTGGAAATTTTTCAATTGTATAAATTGAAAACCTATAAACTTTCAAAAATTATTTAAAAATATATTTAAAAACTTAATTTTAAGAATTTTATTATTATAATTTTTTAAAAATCAGTTACTTTCAACAGTTTTTGTTAAATATTTTCAGTAATTCATCTTAATAACTTTTATAAAAAAGAACCATAAACATTTACAGTTACAATAATTATGGAAAATTGAATTTTTGTATTTAAATAATTATAAGAAAAATTGAAAATAATTGATTTGGAAATGAAGTTTAGTTAAAAAGTTGTAGAAAATATTTTAGTTTTGAAAGATTTATAAAATTATTGTAATTTTAAGAAATTATTAAATTTCAGAAGGTTTTAATTAAAACATTTTCTAATTTTATTTCCCATGGAAAAACAAGTAATAATTATTTAAATATTTATTTAACAAAATTATTCAAGTTTTGAAAAATTGAATTTAGAAATCAGTGAAAGAGGAAAATCAGAATTTTGTTGGAAAATCAAGGAAATGTCAGAGAAATAAAAAATTAAATTAGCATTATATTGATTTTAAAAATTAGAACATTTGAAAAGAAACATATTGTGTCTTTGCTAAAAAAAAATGTAAAATTTAAAATTAAGGAAGATAAATATAAAATTTTACTTGTATAGACTCCTTGCAGTATAGGCATGCAATTATAAACAACAATAACGGAATGAAATTGAAGGAAAAACTAGTGTAATTGTTGATTCGAAAAGCAGAAACAAAAGCTCCTACTAACATTAAGAAAATAGTTCCTGGTCCAATAATAGTAGCTCCTAGTTAAAAAAAAGAAAGTGTTTTTATTTTACTAAAAATATTACTAAAAAATTATTACTTCTAGCTAGCAAACAAAAAAAAAATTACGAAGCAAATGAAAACTTATTATTACCCATTAATACCCATTGGTAAAAAATATATAAAGACGATATATCGTTATTGCATTCTCTTGTTTCCTCGGAAGTACTCAATAAATCAAAAATATTTGCCATTGTCGAAGGAATCCATCGTCGACGTTGAATGAAAAATTCATTAAAATTTTCCGGTGCATGAGTATAAGCATCACTTGCCGCAGAATATTCTACCTAATTATTAATGATAATTTAATTTTCAAAATAAAAAATAAATAGTAGTTTTGCAAATATATGATCAAGATAAATGATACATGAAAATATTCTCGTCATTTTTCTTTAGGGAAAATAAAATTTTTCTTCCGCAAACTTGCGTGACATTTACCCTGTAACCCATTTGCAGAATAAGAGTGCAAAGCCATCGATCTTCTCCCTGATCATATTGAATATAATGTCGTGCTTCAGTTGATTCTGTGGCATATTTCCTCATAACATTATAATCCATTAGGGCTTTTGCTCGAAAGAGTGAAAAGCATCCTGGACTGCAGAGAACACAACCGATTGCGTGTTCCGTTGATTTTTGTAGCCAGTGACCTATGGCGTACTCAAATTTTTGAAACCACACAATTGGACCTAAATTTGTTGTCAAGATTAATAATTTAAATAAATATTCCATAATTATATTAATTAATGGAGAATAAATTAGTTATTAAATTTTTCTGTTCTTATTTTATCCTTTAAATTGATCTGCATACCTTGTCCAATCGGATGTATTCGACCACAAGCTGCGCCTAAACTTTTATCTCTTTTCATCAAATCTATCAAAGTTTTAACAGCGCTCGGATGAAAATCTATATCTCCGTCTAAAGTTAAAATATAAGTGTTCTCTGCAATTTTCGCTTTTTGCTCTAAATCGATTGGCAGTTCCATTAAATTGTAGCCTAGCAAATAGTACATGTACATTACCTGAAGCAGAAAAACTTTACGGTTTAGAAATTTTATTATTGAAGTTAATTTCCAAATTATTATTTATATATAAATATTATTTTTTACTTTTATTAATAATTAATTATAAATATTAAGTTTAACACATAAAATCAGTTTTCTACCTGGCTCCAACGTTTTCTGTGGCGAATTTTGTTTTTGTCTTTAAGATAAACAACTAAATTACATCCACCAGGTAAAATCCATTTTAAACGTCCTCCAAAAGGAGTTGGACATTTTTCAGGAGGTCTCGCACGCATTCTCATTTTTTTTAAATTTTGCTCCACTGTCTTAACAAATTTAATGACATATTCATTTACTTGGGTTTCATTTTCATTTATGCAACTCCCTTGGCATTTATGAACGCATTGAAATGCGTCATCAAAGAAAATATGAACTGTAAAAATAAATTTTATTATTAACTTATTTAACCCTGGAAGCAGAGATGCCAACGACCGTCCCCAAACGCAACTGCGCTTGCGCTACAAAAATGCTCTTATTGGTTAGAAAAAGCGCGTTTATTTAAAATGTTTTATATATAATGCACTCTAATGGACAAGTTTTATTCTACCAATAAGAGCATTTGTTGTAGCGCAAGCGCAGTTGCGTTTGGGGAAGGTCGTTGGCATCTCTGCCTGGAAGGAGTAGTAATAGCAGGTCCACCCGAACGCTATCAGACAATCAAAACATAGAAAATATGAAAATAAAAATTTATTTCTTCCAAATTTAACAATTCTAATCATCTGAAAATAACCAGAGTTCTAGTAGGGACTGAGCCCCACACAATCCTGAAGAATAGAGAATTTCATTTGAATTTTTTAGTAGTAGCACCCTCGCCCGAACGCCATCAGACAATCAAAATTTGGTAAAAACGAAAATAAAAATTTATTTCTTCCAAATTTAACAAATCTAATCATCTGAAAATTACCAGAGTTCTAGTAGGGACTGAACCCTACACAATCCTGAAGAATAGAGAATTTTATTTCAATTTTTTAGTAGTAGCACCCTCACCCGAACGCCATCAGACAATCATAACTAATTTGGTAATAACGAAAATAAAAATTTATTTCTTCCAAATTTAACAATTCTAATCATCTACAAATAACCAGAGTTCTAGTAGGGACTGAGCCCCACACAATCCTGAAGAATACAGAATTTTATTTCGAATTTTAAGTAGTAGCAGGTCCACCCGTACGCCATCAGACAATCATAACTAATTTGGTAAAAACGAAAATAAAAATTTATTTATTACAAGTTTGAGAATTCTAATCATCTGAAAATAACCAGAGTTCTAGTAGGGACTGAGCCCCACACAATCCTGAAGAATAGAGAATTTTATTTCGAATTTTAAGTAGTAACAGGTCCACCCGTACGCCATCAGACAATCATAACTAATTTGGTAAAAACGAAAATAAAAATTTATTTATTACAAGTTTGAGAATTCTAATCATCTGAAAATAACCAGAGTTCTAGTAGGGACTGAGCCCCACACAATCCTGAAGAATAGAGAATTTTATTTCGAATTTTAAGTAGTAGCACCATCACCCGAATGCCATCAGACAATCATAACTAATTTGGTAAAAACGAAAATAAAAATTTATTTCTTCCAAATTTAACAATTCTAATCATCTACAAATAACCAGAGTTCTAGTAGGGACTGAGCCCCACACAATCCTGAAGAATAGAGAATTTTATTTCGAATTTTAAGTAGTAGCACCATCACCCGAATGCCATCAGACAATCATAACTAATTTGGTAATAACGAAAATAAAAATTTATTTCTTCCAAATTTAACAATTCTAATCATCTACAAATAACCAGAGTTCTAGTAGGGACTGAGCCCCACACAATCCTGAAGAATACAGAATTTTATTTCGAATTTTAAGTAGTAGCAGGTCCACCCGTACGCCATCAGACAATCATAACTAATTTGGTAAAAACGAAAATAAAAATTTATTTATTACAAGTTTGAGAATTCTAATCATCTGAAAATAACCAGAGTTCTAGTAGGGACTGAGCCCCACACAATCCTGAAGAATAGAGAATTTTATTTCGAATTTTAAGTAGTAGCAGGTCCACCCGTACGCCATCAGACAATCATAACTAATTTGGTAAAAACGAAAATAAAAATTTATTTCTTCCAAATTTAACAATTCTAATCATCTACAAATAAGCAGAGTTCTAGTAGGGACTGAGCCCCACACAATCCTGAAGAGTAGAGAATTTTATTTCGAATTTTCAGTAGTAGCACCATCACCCGAATGCCATCAGACAATCATAACTAATTTGGTAAAAACGAAAATAAAAATTTATTTATTACAAGTTTGAGAATTCTAATCATCTGAAAATAACCAGAGTTCTAGTAGGGACTGAGCCCCACACAATCCTGAAGAATAGAGAATTTTATTTCGAATTTTAAGTAGTAGCACCATCACCCGAATGCCATCAGACAATCATAACTAATTTGGTAATAACGAAAATAAAAATTTATTTCTTCCAAATTTAACAATTCTAATCATCTACAAATAACCAGAGTTCTAGTAGGGACTGAGCCCCACACAATCCTGAAGAATACAGAATTTTATTTCGAATTTTAAGTAGTAGCAGGTCCACCCGTACGCCATCAGACAATCATAACTAATTTGGTAAAAACGAAAATAAAATTTATTTATTACAAGTTTGAGAATTCTAATCATCTGAAAATAACCAGAGTTCTAGTAGGGACTGAGCCCCACACAATCCTGAAGAATAGAGAATTTTATTTCGAATTTTAAGTAGTAGCAGGTCCACCCGTACGCCATCAGACAATCATAACTAATTTGGTAAAAACGAAAATAAAAATTTATTTCTTCCAAATTTAACAATTCTAATCATCTACAAATAAGCAGAGTTCTAGTAGGGACTGAGCCCCACACAATCCTGAAGAGTAGAGAATTTTATTTCGAATTTTCAGTAGTAGCACCATCACCCGAATGCCATCAGACAATCATAACTAATTTGGTAAAAACGAAAATAAAAATTTATTTATTACAAGTTTGAGAATTCTAATCATCTGAAAATAACCAGAGTTCTAGTAGGGACTGAGCCCCACACAATCCTGAAGAATAGAGAATTTTATTTCGAATTTTAAGTAGTAGCACCATCACCCGAATGCCATCAGACAATCATAACTAATTTGGTAATAACGAAAATAAAAATTTATTTCTTCCAAATTTAACAATTCTAATCATCTACAAATAACCAGAGTTCTAGTAGGGACTGAGCCCCACACAATCCTGAAGAATACAGAATTTTATTTCGAATTTTAAGTAGTAGCAGGTCCACCCGTACGCCATCAGACAATCATAACTAATTTGGTAAAAACGAAAATAAAAATTTATTTATTACAAGTTTGAGAATTCTAATCATCTGAAAATAACCAGAGTTCTAGTAGGGACTGAGCCCCACACAATCCTGAAGAATAGAGAATTTTATTTCGAATTTTAAGTAGTAGCAGGTCCACCCGTAAGCCATCAGACAATCATAACTAATTTGGTAAAAACGAAAATAAAAATTTATTTCTTCCAAATTTAACAATTCTAATCATCTACAAATAAGCAGAGTTCTAGTAGGGACTGAGCCCCACACAATCCTGAAGAGTAGAGAATTTTATTTCGAATTTTCAGTAGTAGCACCATCACCCGAATGCCATCAGACAATCATAACTAATTTGGTAAAAACGAAAATAAAAATTTATTTATTACAAGTTTGAGAATTCTAATCATCTGAAAATAACCAGAGTTCTAGTAGGGACTGAGCCCCACACAATCCTGAAGAATAGAGAATTTTATTTCGAATTTTAAGTAGTAGCAGGTCCACCCGAATGCCATCAGACAATCATAACTAATTTGGTAATAACGAAAATAAAAATTTATTTCTTCCAAATTTAACAATTCTAATCATCTACAAATAACCAGAGTTCTAGTAGGGACTGAGCCCCACACAATCCTGAAGAATAGAGAATTTTATTTCGAATTTTAAGTAGTAGCAGTCCACCCGAATGCCATCAGACAATCATAACTAATTTGGTAAAAACGAAATAAAAATTTATTCTTACCAAAGTTTAGCAATTCTAATCATCTACAAATAACCAGAGTTCTAGTAGGGACTGAGCCCCACACAATCCTGAAGAATAGAGAATTTTATTCGAATTTTAAGTAGTAGCAGGTCCACCCGTACTGCCATCAGACAATCATAACTAATTTGGTAAAACGAAAATAAAAAATTTCTTTATTACAAGTTTGAGAATTCTAATCATCTGAAAATAACCAGAGTTCTAGTAGGGACTGAGCCCCACACAATCCTGAAGAATAGAGAATTTTATTTCGAATTTTAAGTAGTAGCAGGCCATCACCCGAATGCCATCAGACAATCATAACTAATTTGGTAAAAACGAAAATAAAAAATTTATTTATTACAAGTTGAGAATTCTAATCATCTGAAATAACCAGAGTTCTAGTAGGGACTGAGCCCCACACAATCCTGAAGAATAGAGAATTTTATTTCGAATTTTAAGTAGTAGCACATCCACCCGTAATGCCATCAGACAATCATAACTAATTTGGTAAAACGAAAATAAAAATTTATTTCTTACAAGTTTGACAATTCTAATCATCTGAAAATAACCAGAGTTCTAGTAGGGACTGAGCCCCACACAATCCTGAAGAATAGAGAATTTTATTTCGAATTTTAAGTAGTAGCCAGTCACCCGTAATGCCATCAGACAATCATAACTAATTTGGTAAAAACGAAAATAAAAATTTATTTCTTCCAAATTTAACAATTCTAATCATCTACAAATAACCAGAGTTCTAGTAGGGACTGAGCCCCACACAATCCTGAAGAATAGAGAATTTTATTTCGAATTTTAAGTAGTAGCACCAGGTCACCCGTACTGCCATCAGGACAATCATAACTAATTTGGTAATAACGAAAATAAAAATTTATTTATTACAAGTTTGAGAATTCTAATCATCTGAAAATAACCAGAGTTCTAGTAGGGACTGAGCCCCACACAATCCTGAAGAATAGAGAATTTTATTTCGAATTTTAAGTAGTAGCACCATCACCCGAATGCCATCAGACAATCATAACTAATTTGGTAATAACGAAAATAAAAATTATTTATTACAAGTTTGAGAATTCTAATCATCTGAAAATAACCAGAGTTCTAGTAGGGACTGAGCCCCACACAATCCTGAAGAATAGAGAATTTTATTTCGAATTTAAGTAGTAGCACCATCACCCGAAGCCATCAGACAATCATAACTAATTTGGTAAAAAACGAAAATAAAAATTTATTTCTTCCAATTTAAATTCTAATCATCTGAAAATAACCAGAGTTCTAGTAGGGA